GCCTGGAGAGGCCGGGGCCCGGGGCGGGGAGGTGGCTCCAGTGGGGCCGCCTCCCATCTTCCGCCCGCCCGCACGCGGCCGGCTCCATCCCGCCGGACCCGCCGGACCCCCCGTGCCCGCCCTCCCCGCAGCTCCGGGGCCTCGAGTTCCCCTCCCTGGAGTCGTGGAGGGGCCTGGGGCCTCGGGGTGGGAGCTGCGACCCGGAACTGGGAGGCGTGCAGCCCGGGGCCTCTAGGCAGGGGCTGGGATGTGGGCCTGGGGCTCCCTGGACATCACTCCCGGGCTGGGTCCGGCGCGGTCAGGGTCCTTCCTCCGGCGACGCTCTCCGAGGCGACCCTGCGCCAGCGAGAGAGCAAAGACCCACGTGGGAGGGGGATGCGGAGGGTTGGGTCCCGCTGCATTGAAAGTCTTCGAACTCTGGAGAGTGGGGTGTCGGGTGCAGGGGCCCTGCTTCCGTGGCTCTCTGTGTCTCTGCGGGGGTGGGAGCAGGGCCCGGCGAGTTGTCCCTTGCCAGACCTCGCTCCCAGGGTTTGTTTTCTGTGAGTAAATAAATGTACGTTCCTGTTGTTACTCTCTCCTTCCCATCTGCTATACGGGTCACGCTATTGGAGATAGGACGTCGGAAGGTGATGGGAGGCTAATTTCAGAGGAAAATGTGCGTCAAGGTCCTGCTCGGGTCAGTGCCAACATTATTTTTGGATTTGGACACAGAAAGTGGACACCCCTGGACACTTGGAGTCAGCTCTAAGTACTAGGGACTCCATGCAGGTCTTGTAGGTTTTATAGAAGCATAGGAGGATATAGCTGCTCCCGTAGAGGGAATACTTTAATTTCAGATATGTTTGTTTTGGGGTTTAAGTCCGAAATCAAGAGACCCTAGGATTTCCTGATTGATTCCATTTCTACTTAAGCAGTTTTTCAGTAATTTCCCAATGTGTGGAATAAACCTCATAACCTAGTCCTCACTCTCAGAGGTTGATCCCTTTAGTCTAGATTTCTTTTCATTCATTTTTTTTTTTTTTTCCCCTCCAACCCCATGATACAGATTGAGAAACATGCTTACTTTGGTTACATGGTTTCTTCTTTCTGGGTGGTAGGAATTGTCGGACTTGTCTCTTACTTCTTGGTGGGAATGCTTTGGATGTTTGTGATTGAGAAGTATTTCTGTGCTGCCTACTTGGCAAGCACTTTTAAGGACAGTGTGTGATTTAATAGAGTAATATAGAGCAGGACAGCAGCTGCAGTGTCCAGGTAAGTGCCTGCTTGTTACAAAGTAGCAAGTCTCTTCCCACTTTTCTTGACTTAATTTCCTCATTTCTAATAATAGGAGGACTGTTGTGAATCCAAGAATAGTTATGAAAGATGTCAAGACAAAGCGCTAATTTACAAAGCCGCTTGGGTTTACTTGTGTTGCAGAGGTTTTGTTTTTGAATTTACCAGTGCAGAATTGAAATACATCAAGCATAAGGTTGAATTGTTTTTAAAATTGGAGGGAAGATTGGGAAATGGTGGCATTTAGTTTAGTGGACTTATAGTTCAGGTGATGACTAGGTTATGTCAAAGAACTGGCATTGGGAAAGAAAGCCAGCCTCAGAACTGTCTCTCTGATATTTACCTCTCTGAAGTGCTGTGAACAGGTTCAGGTGTAGAACATTATGTAAAATTCTGTTACCTTTTCAGTTAGTGATTAGGAAAACATTTTGGCCATCACACAGACTGGTTTAACAGGTCTGGGGCTAGTGTTTTTCTTTCTTTAAAATAATTTTTTAAAAATATATAATATACTAATAGTCGTGGTTGAAGAAAGAAGTAAATTAAAATGAAAATTGTTGGAATAATACATTGGAATTTAGAATTTCTAATTGGAGGAGTCTTTTTACAATTCAGAAAAAAAGGTTAACTAATATGCTCTTAAAGATTAATAATGGTAGAAGCTATGCATCAAGCATTTTTCCATCCCTTAAAACAGCAAGATTATGAAGAAGTGAATGAACACTAAAGACTCATTGGTTGAAAAAGTTTCTTTAACTATGAGGTGACTAACATTTTTAAAGGAAGTATTCACTGATCTTCCACTCTAACAGATTATTGCTTAACTAGTTTTTTGTTTGTTTCAATAAGTGTACAATTTAGTGACTATTCACTACTTTACTTGAATCTAATGGCTTATGTGAAGATGCTATTAGATAGGAAACTGACAAATAGTGTTATAAGGACATTGCACTTAACACAAGGAATATGAATCTGATTGATAGAGCATAGATTCTTATGAGTTCAACCACTCTTAGTATGTGTGCTCTAATGATACAGTACTCTTACCAATTTTTTATTTATTCAAGCTACCATAAAGCCATCTAGTCTCTGAATGTTTAAGCAAGTGAAAAGTGGCTTCAACAACAACGTTAAGTGCCTTACCCAAAGGTTGTTGGCCCCAACCGGTTTGGCCTTCCAATGATGTTATTTGGGACTTAGGTTCATTTCGTTGTTTCAGCATGCCATATTCACCCTCCTTTATATAAGGAACCACAGTAATGTTTACCATCACATGACAATAGGAATTGAAGTTGTTTGGCAGTACTAGTGATCATCCCAGAGAGAATAAGCTTGTATAAATGATTTTCATTTTCAAAGTAACACAAATGAATTTATGGAGTTAAGTTTGAAAAGCAGGCTCAGTTTTGGAGAATCTTTTTCTGGAAATATAAGGTTTCATTTATGTGTATTTGGCTATCTCCAATGATAGAAATAGAGAGTACGCTCATTAATGAAGTTCCTAAAAATTTGTAGAAAGCTTTCAAATCTGTCCTTAGTCATAGAAGTTGGCACACATGTATATGTATGTATTTACACACATGCCATATTAGGGGATAGTAGGTTGATAGGAGCTTGATTAGTTTTCAAGTTTAATAAGAGTAATATCAGTAGATTAGCACCAGGAGGATAGATAGCTGGTTTGTGTTTTGTGTGTCAACATTTAGTGGTATTCCTGGCCCTGACAAGGCACGCTGTTTAATTTCCCTTTGATTCCATCTTATAAAATCCAAAAATTTAGTAGAACTTCTAGTATTGGAGTGTACCTTCGGAATTTTATAGTCCAGTTTTCCATTTAATATGAGAATATTTTATCTGATACTCCTATTGAAAATTCCAGCTATAGGCAATCCATCATCTCAGGCAACTAATTTTTGAAAGTTTGTCATTATTTTAACTCAAAACTGTCTCTTTAAAATGACACAAGATGTTGTAACTCCAAGAGGACTAGGAATTGCTTTAACCTGTAAATGTCTCCTCTACATCTCTGCCAGGTAACATAAAGTACAATCCAGAGAACTGGGGGCAACAACAAAAAAAGGAATGTGTTTTCAAAGAAAAAATTTTTATCTTGAGACTGTTTAGAAGATAGCTGACACATCTGAATCATGGCTCCAGCTTTTTCTAAATACTGTTGTTCTATGAAGTAAGATTATAAGGGAAAATTGATTCATAATCCCAAAGCTTTTTGAATTCACAAAATGGCTTTTTACCTGGAAGCCTCTAATGTTTCGAGGTAATAATATTTGAAATAAACCCGTTGTTCGTGCCTCCTAGTTTTGTAACTCAAATGTTAACTGGAATTCTTATGAAATGGCCTGCAGAAACCTAGTTTTTACACAGCATTGTAAGGTGCTATTGGTGGTAGATCTAAAATGATTGGAAGAGATAACTTTTTCCAGCTTCATTAAGGAGATAACATAGTCAATTACATATATTAAATAAGGGAATGACATGCTCATTGTCTACTTAAATGCACAGGCAGATAGGAATAAAGGATCAGAGTGGAATGGAATTGGGTAAAACTTTTTTTATATATAAACATATTTTTATTGATTTCAGAGAGGAAAGAAGAGGGAGGGAGTGATAGAAACATCAATGATGAGGGAGAATGATCCATCAGCTGCCTCCTGCACAACCCCTGCTGGGGATAGAGTCCAAAACTTGGGCATGTGCCCTTACCTGGAGTTGAACCATGATCTACTGGTTCGTGGGTCTAGGCTCAACCACTGAGCTTTACTGGGTGGGCTGGGTAAAACTTTCTGTTAACATATTTAAGATCTTCAGTTGGTAATACATAAGTGATACATGCACATAGTTCAAAATTTTAAACATAAGAGAGAGAAAACAAATGTAATAAAAGCATATATAGTGACATTCTCCATCCTAATTTTGTCTTGCAGCCATCTAGTACCCTTCACCAGAGACAAGCAGTGTTATTAATATCATTATAATTTCTTAATAGTAATGATCAAATATATTTATTTAAATGTATTTATTTTTAAATTGAGGTTTATTCATATTCAAACAAATGCTCCCCACTCTGCTAATTTTTTAAATACAAATTATGCATACTTTACATACTGTTCTTCACCTTTGGTTTCTTCACTTAATGTAATTATTTTCAACTGGTGTGCCACAAGCATCTGTCCTCTCCCTTACTTTATGGGTGGGTATAGCCATTTTATTGATTTGAGAGAGAGAAACATCAATTGGTTGCCTCCCATACACACCTTAACCATGGATTGCACTAGCAATCTAGGTGTATGTCCTTACTGGGTATTGAACCGGCATCTTAATTCCCCAATTAACATACCTACACTATCCCCAATCTTGTCACTTGTCATTCAGGGTCTTCTCTTAGAAGCTCTGGATTTCCCTATCTGTGTAATAGGTTCCTTCCTTATATTTTCTTCACCCCAAACCAGTGGAACTGTGTCTGTCAACTGTGACACTTAATATTCAGATCTCTGGGCCTCCAGCAGCAATTCTGATTCCCAGTTGATCTGGGGTGGAGTTTAGACATACTATATGGTTTTTTAAAAGCTCAACAGGTGATTGTTATAAATAGTCAAATTTGAGAATTTCTACCTTGGGTACAGTTAAATTGTTGGGCCTAGAAGGAAACCCAGGATTTGGGAAGTAACTAGAGATTCTTTGGTCTCTTAGAGTTTAGGGACTTAATGTAATAGGAGATCTGTCCTCTCCCTTACTTTATGGGTGGGTATAGCCATTTTATTGATTTGAGAGAGAGAAACATCAATTGGTTGCCTCCCATACACACCTTAACCATGGATTGCACTAGCAATCTAGGTGTATGTCCTTACTGGGTATTGAACCGGCATGGGACAACGCTCCAACCAAGTGAGCCACACTGACCAAGGCGGGTATAACCATTTGGAAACATAATCATTGCCTGACTGGGTTGTACCAAATCTAGTGGTTTTCTTTTTCTTTTTTTTTTTTTATGAAATATTGGAAATCATAGGGTTGGAATGTGTTCATCCAAGTATACATGGAAGAGGCATATTGTGAAATTATAATATTGGATTATTGTTTAATACTTTCATGAATAAGAAGTCTTTGAGCATATAATGTTTTTGATTCACAGATTTGAACAAATAGTAAACAACTAAACTTTATGCTTCAAGTTCAATAATAGATTTGACCAGAAAATCATACTTTGAGTATTATTACTTTATATTATGCTGAGCAAAACAGTTATTAATAATTTTGAAATTCTTTTAAAAAATACTTCAAATATCTCTCCGTTTCTTTTTTTTTTTTTTTTAGTTCTTTTTGGAAGTGGATATCTGCTCAGACAGTGAGAATTATAAGAGGTCAGTTATAAATAATGCTCCTTGTTTTCAGTGTGATAAAAATTTTATGTTCGTGTGCTAAAATATTAACCTGTAAGCTTTTATGTTAAAAGTTGCCTTCCACAAAAGAATATATGCAGGTTTAGGGGGGATAACTTGAGTGAACAAGTCTGACAGTGATAGTATTCCACCACCTTTTCTCTTTCATTCAGGACTAGAATCAATGGAAGTGGGACGAGCTGTAGCGTAGCTTCTAGAGTGTCTGGACAGCTACTCAGTGATTTTCCATACATGACCTCTCCTGATGGTTTGTAGGCTTGTGCCTGGGCATACCATTCAGTAGAGTTGCTGGTTGGTGGACAGGTCTTTAGCTGTTGACACTGGGCTGCTTCCAGTCGTTGCAACCCTTTAGGGAAGGCTGCCTTCCTGTTCTTAGCTAGGAAAGAAAAATTTGAAGTTGACTTTTTTAGAGCCTTCATTTATTAGTCAATCCCATTTTTTTCCACGGAATCAGAGAAATGCTTCTTACTAATTTTATTTTTTAGTATAGTCACTTAATTTTGGTCAGGCTATAATGTAGAATCTGTCCCTGAATACCTTACTTCTCTTGTGAAGAAGGCAGCCATTATTTTCTGTTAGCTGAAATGGAGGTTTTTAAAAAATTTATTGTTCTTAAGCTTGATTATGAACTGCTCTAAAATGTGAAAGAAGTAGCCTTTTTGCTGCTGTACTTTCTGATGTTTGGAGTGGTCATCTGTTAGAACTTCTTCCTCCCTTTCTCCTTCTCTCTCCCTAATCCCCTTTTTAAATGATTTGGTTTTCTTTTAATATTCTGAAAGTGAACTCTTTATAAAATTTGGAGACATTAAACAAAAATTTTTTAAGGAAACCTAATACTCCAAGGGAGAAATGTATAGAAATTTTAGATGTCAAGTTTGCATATTTTTATATTTGATTCTAGTTTTAAACATAAAAGTTAGCTTAAGTAATCTCCAACTCACTTTTAGGAACTGTCTGTAGGTATTTTTTAGCATTCCTGACAATTTATTATTACTGCTTTATTCTTCTAGCACAGTGGTTCTCAAACTTTAGGACTTGGTAAAATATTGATTATTGGGCCCCAACCTGTAGGTTCTGACATAGTTAGTTTGTCTGTGGTAGGACCCAAGAATTTGTACTCTTAATGGATTCCTAGGTAATACTGCTCCTGGACTAGAAACCACACTTTGAGAACCACTATTCTAGCATTACAAATATGTTTTATCTTTATAAATGAACAAGCTCTGATTCACAAATTGCACAAAAATAATGGTGCATATGTAATTTTAACATGTTTAGTGTGTCCATGTATATATACATATATATATATACATGTAGTATATCTATTCACTATGTAGTATGTGTATATTTATACATAAATGTTTTATGTATATATTTATACATAAATGCACTTATATAAAATTTATAGCCTCTTATAGTGTAGTGTTTGGAACCAGGTGGTAGGTGTATAGTTTACTGTAAACACCAAGGTTTTTTTTTGTTGTTGTTTAAAATGTTTTTTTATTTTTGTATTTTTTGTTTTACAGAGAGGGGAAGGGAGGGAGGGGGGAGAGAGAGAAACGTCGATCGGCTGCCCTGGCATGTGCCCTGACTGGGAATCGAACTGTCGACCTCTCAGTGCTTGGGGCAATGCTCAACCAATTGAGCCACACCAGCCAGGGCTAAACACCAAGTTTTCAATGAACACCACTCTTCCAAAACCCTTACCACATTCTCCCCAATACTAATAACCAAAATTACAATATACAAACAAGGAGCTTTCACCTACTGGAAAGGTTCCTGATTATCTCTTGGACATCATCAAATTGATAAAGATATTGGGAATGGCTTATATATTTTTTGAAAATGATTTCTTGAGGAAATGGAAATTAGTTTTAATTTTTTAGGCAGAGTTACCATGATCTAGATTTTCTTCCCTTGTAGAAAACAAAGGCCCTGAAATAGAATAGCTAAGGAAACAAATTCTCAAACTCTGCCTTGCTTCCCAGTTCAAGCTGTGCCATACTAGGTATAACCTGTAGTTATCTTTAGATATAGGTTATTATCTATAATCTGCTTTCCTCACTCTTCATTTTCTCCATAGCTCTGAGAGCTCATTTTGAAGAAATAATGGATGAGCCATCCGCCTTGGCCAAACCTCTGGAGCTGAACCAGCACTCCCGATTCATAATTGGTTCTGTGTCTGAAGATAACTCGGAGGATGAGATCAGCAGTCTGGTGAAGCTGGATCTACTGGAGGAGAAGGAGGGCTCTCTGTCACCCACTTCTGTCAGCTCGGATACACTCTCTGATATGGGCATCTCTAGCCTACAGGATGGCTTGGCCTTACATGTAAGGTAAGAGAGAGAAGTTTAATGTTTTATACATTTAATATGTCCTGCTTTCACTGAGTTTGTTCTGAAAAGAGTAAGAATAATTTTATCCAAGATTGCTTCTTCTTTTCCTATGTCACCGGTCTTAAAGCTTTGATGAGTAAGTGGAAAATGATGTACGTTGTCTGGAGTATAGTTTTTGAAAATATCTTTTCCTAAACATTACTCTCAACTTTTTCTGGTTCTTTCTACATACTAGATCTTTTACTGAGACCTAGAGAATGAGAGTTATGTTGAGGAATTTCAGTCTCTGTATTACTTTGACTACCATTGTTGTAACCATCTTGGTGATTAACAGGTCTTTTGCAAGGGTGGGCAAAAGATATTTGTAGTAATATCTCTTTGAACTACTTCATCATAGCAGGAAGTTATATTCTATTTCTGACTGGGTCAGTACTCAATAAAGAGCTGTAGAAGGAATAAGGGATTGTTATAGAGCTCTTCTTTTTCTCTAGAAATGCAATTCCCTATATGTAATTGAGAATATCAGTAAATAGTAACCCTGGATTGTTCTTATTTGTTGATGTTTGATTGTACAACTAGTGTGTGATATACTAACCTTTGGTCATTTGCTTTGCATTTCTTGGATTAAAAGTTATGGATTAGTGGTTCTTGGTTTTCACTGTACATCAGAGTCATTTGGGGAGCCTTAAGAAATGAACCCCATCACCACTGATTCTGATTCATTTGATATTGGCTTGGCTTGGAGCTGGGGCAATTTCTTTTAAAGCTCTCCAGATAATTCTTATATACAGCCAGGGTTTATATTATAGGTCTAGCCTAGATAAACATAAGTTAGGGTAGGTATTGCTGCTGTTATTATCTTGATACTTCTATCATTAATGGATTATAAAGTAATTCAACTCCTTTTTTATATACTCAAGATACACACTCTGTACTTCACAGATTCCTAGAACTATAATGAACCAGAGATAATTTAGTCTAATTCCTTTACTTAAATAGATGAGAAAACAGGCCTAAAGAGGGACAATACCTTGCTTAAGGGGTCAGGTCTTTGTTTTTATGTAAACATCTTTAATATGTTTTTATTGATTTTTAGAGAGAGAGGAAGGGAGAGGGATAGAGAGATAGAAACATCAATGATGAAAGATTGGCTGCCGCCTGCATGCCCCCTACTGGGGATCGAGCCTGCAACCCGGACATGTACCCTGACCCGGGAGAGATCTAGTGACCTCCTGGTTCATGGGTCGATGCTCAACCACTGAACCACATCACCAGTTGGGCTAATACTGGTGATGGTGTCTTTCCCCTCAAGATCATCTGTAAATGTGTTGGGGTTGTGCCTGGTGGGACTACTTGCTTTTAGAGGACAGAGGACCAATGATTTAAAACCTTCTACAATGGATAATCACACACCACCAAAAATTGTTCTCATAATGTCACAGTTTCCTATTGAGAAAGATTGGGTTAAATTTAAATCCTAGCCTTGGTTGGCGTTTCTCAGTGGTTAGCAGTGGTTCTCAACCTTCCTAATGCCGCAACCCTTTAATACAGTTCCTCATGTTGTGGTGACCCCCAACCATAACATTATTTTTGTTGCTACTTCATAACTGTAATTTTGCTACTGTTATGAATTGTAATGTAAATATCTGATATGAAGGATGTATTTTCATTGTTACAAGTTGAACATAATTGAAGCACAGTGATTATTCACAAAAACAATATGTAATTATATATGTGTTTTTTAATGGTCTTAGGCGACCCCTGTGAAAGGGTAGTTCGACCCCCAAAGGGGTCTTGACCCACAGGTTGAGAACCGCTGGGTTAGAGCATTGTCCCACTCATCAAAGGGTCTCAGGTTTGATTCCTGGTCAAGTGCATGTACCTGGGTTGCAGGTTCAATCCCTGGCCCCAGCTGGGGCTGTGTGAGAGGCAACAAATCAATGTGTCTCTCACATCAATTTGTTTTTTTCTCACTCTCCCTTCTGCCCCTGCCTTCTACTCTCTAAAAATCAGTGGAACCCTAGCTGGTTTGGCTCAGTGGATAGAGCGTCGGCCTGTGAACTGAAGGGTCCCCGGTTCAATTCTGGTCAGGGGCACATACCTGGGTTGCAGGCTCGATTCCCATTGGGGGACGTGCAGGAGGCAGCCCATCAGTGGTTCTCTCTCATCATTGATGTTCCCTTCTTCTCTAAAATCAATTACAATATATTTTAAAAAATAAGTGAAAAAATATCCTTGGATGAGGAGTAACAAACCAAAAATTTAAATTATTGAAGCTATACAGCACCTTAAGAATTTTTGTCTAATATGAGACTATGTGAAACAATATCCTTTGTTGGATTTGGAAATTGTGAGTTTGGCAATGATTAGATAGATACCATTATAGGAAATTCAGCTGATGATATTACAAGGCAGTTTATAGTTGCCAAGTCATTCCTAAAGTTGATGGCTCTTATTGCAAAGACTGTGTGATCAGTGGTATGTGTGCCTGAGAATTTGTTTGCATGCCCTACTATTGCAAAACTCATTCCCATAGCTCCTGGAGGAGCTATGGATTGAAGTGTGATCAGCATCCTGTGTAGGAGATAGTGCCACTTCCCACTCACTCTCAGCTAGCTAATGTTCCAGTATAAAACAAAATTATTTCTTTCTTTTTTTTTTTTTTATTTTCCTTTTGCCTTTATTCTCCCTTCTTCTATCCTACCCCAATCCTGCCCACAGCTGTACTCTGATATTTTTTTTTATAATTAAATCTTTATTGTTCAGATTATTACACTTGTTCCTCTTTTTTCCCCCCATAACTCCCCTCCTCCCAGTTCCCACCCCACCCTCCGCCCTCACTCCCCACCCACTGTCCTCATCCATAGGTGCATAATACCCAAGAAAGTTATAGGTTGGTGGGAATATACATTGTATATTCCTCATTGTAGACAACTATGTTTTTTTATTTGTAGATAAGATCAGCTAGGTTGATATATTTCTGAACCTCATTATTGATATTTAATTGAACATTTGAGAAGAAAGATCATTTAAGACTGAGTGTAGGCATCTTAATTTTGATAACTAATGTATGATTTGGTGGCATATAATAGAGCCATCTAGTTGTATGGATATTGACATTTGCTCCTTGTGGGATACCACTTGAGGTCAGATTGTTCTTCATGCTTACAATGCAGTCTAAATCTACATCAACCTACGCTATCTACCAAACAAAGATTGTAATCAGTTTTGTCAAGAAATATGCTGAATTCCTGGATGAGGTCCAGTTGGAATCACATTAGCCCCACAGTTGGATCTTTTACCTCTAGGGTATATGATTTCTTTAAAACTTTTTTTTATCCCATAATTTATGTTATGGTGTTTGAAACTCCATCTCAGTTTTCTCTTAAACTTCTTAAAATATATACTCAAAATATCAAGTGGCCAACATTTCATGCTTAGCAAGCATCTTAGGTTAATGACTTCATTGGAAAACATTCTGTAATTGCTGTTATTTGTGTATATATAAATCCAGCATACAATTTCTGTCTCTGGGTTTAAGACAAGTAGTTGCTACTTTGGAAGGAGAGATGATTAAGTTCATTCAGAAAAGGCTCCTTGAAGGTGAGGTATAGTCCTATCTCCTTTCTGGTCTAGAAAGAAAAGTACTTTACTTTTTTATGTTTCCTAAAATTCATGGTCAATAAAAAAAATCATATAGAATTGTATTATAGGCCATCATCCATAGGAAATAATGGTGATGAGGTTAGACTCTGAGAGAATCTAGGAGTAGCTTTCAGCGCCTGCTGCCATTGGGTCAAGAGGGAAGTTAAGGGGACAAGCGTAGTGATATGATTTGATTAAAAGCTATAAAGGACAGAGCTTTTTAGTTTTAACTGTATATGTTTGTGTTTGTCCTGGAAAGAAATAAGGATTTTCTTTTCTTTTTGGTCTCTCACTTTAAACTCCTGAGTTTGAAGCAATTTCATTTAAATCTAGTGATGGAGGTAAAATTAAATAAGAGCAGCAAAAGCTTTTGGGAAAGTAAAATGTGCCATACTAGTGTAATGTGATATTATTCATTATGGAGGAGTCCTTTTTGTGAGGTAAAAATTGTTAACTGGAAAAACCTCTTTAAGTCTTTTGCAAATTAGAGATTAAAACTTGGAAATTTAGATTTGAAAAACTTGATTGCAGTAAACATATTGTCAGTATTATAATTCAGATGTCAACATAAGAAATGTCCAGACATTTTTATGAGAGAACTTTTATGAATTTTTTTGATCTAAAACTGATAACAATTGCCAGGAAGCAAGATCTGAAATGGTCTAATGAATGACAGTTTCACCATTTAAAAAAATTTATTTGAAATTAAGGAGGGAAGTAAGGAAGACTACATGAAAAGGATGGGCGGAAGCAATGTGTGTTGAATTAAAGGATCCTTAACAAGAATATGTATTTTCTTGAGGGTGATTATGTTTATTTCAAAGGTGTATGAACCTAGATGCACAGAAACAGTGGACAGGGCTTGTTTAAGGCAAAAATAAACCTTTTATTAAAAAAGTTATATGCCTGGGGCATGACTACACACCATGACCTTGCCCAGTTAGGAGTTTATGATCAGATCACCCAGAGAGGTCACTTTCTGTAAAACCCGTTCTTTATCCACAAGAATAACCATTATTGGGAGGGCAGGAAATTTCATTTTCCCATCCTATCTTTTGGCTCATCACTTTCAAGCTTTAACATGGGAAATCTATATATAAGGCTAATATGCAAAGTGTCCCCTCGGGAGTTCGATTGGGATACCAGGAATTCGATCGCTTGCTATGATGTGCGCTGACCACCAGGGGGCTGTGTGGAACCAAGGAAGGCCCCGGCTGGCAGCCAGAAGGCCCCGATTGGCCCTGATTGCTGGCCAGGCCTAGGGACCCTACCCACGCACGAATTTCATGCACCAGGCCTCTAGTTAATAATAGAACGGACTCTAGTTTTGAGATTCTATTTTGGCTTTGCTTGTT